GGCCTGCGTTGGAAATATTAAATCGTTCCTAAACATTCTAACATACTTGCCAGGATGTGTCCTCAGTTAACTAAGAAGATAACTTGTTATTAGTGCCATCAACATCCAGCGATCGGCATATTTCATATAAACGATCCTGCGTTGCACTGTACATAATGGAAAAAAATCGTGTGAAATTCTTAAATGGCTATGCGACGCATGCTTCTTAAGAAATAAATATACATAGATAAAAACATTTAAAAATCAATCGTAACCCAGTTTATTTTTCACAGTACAAGAAACGCCTAAAGAAAATATGATAATCACTGTTAATAGTTGAAAAGAGACGAGCAATTTTGCAGTTCATATGTTTCAATTTTGACTTCAAATTGGTCATGTAAATATATCGATTTTTTCAGAAAAACAGCTTGCGATAAACACACATACATTATATATATTATATATATATATATATATATATATATATATATATATATATATATATATATACATATATATATATATATATATATATATATATATACATATATATACACACACAGAAACACACACACACACACACACACACACACACACACACACACACACATATATATATATATATATATATATATATATATATATATATATACATATATATATACATATATATATATATATATATATATATATATATATATATATATATATATATATATATATATTATATACACATATATATTATATACATATAAATATATATATATATATATATATATATATATATATATATATATATATATATATATATATATGTATATACATATATATATATATATATATATATATATATATATATATATATATATATATATATATTATATACATATATTTATATATATATATATTATATGTATACATATATGTCTATATTTACATTTATACATATTTAAAAATATATGTCTATATATATATATATATATATATATATATATATATATATATATATGTATATATATATATATATATATATATATATATATATATATATATATATATAGACATATATTTTTAAATATGTATAAATGTAAATATAGACATATATGTATACATATAATATATATATATAAATATATGTATATAATATATATATATAGATTTTATGGCAGCATGAGTAATTTCCACAGGACTTCAAAGATGCTTCTATCGTGCATCTCTACAAACGCAAAGGAAATCGTCAGGTCTGCAACAACCACCGTGGAATCTCCTTACTCGCCATCGCAGGCAAAATCCTGGCCAAAGTTCTGCTCAATCATCGCACTGGACACCTGAAGCAAGACCTTCTCCCTGAAAGCCAGTGCGATTTCCGGAGAGACCGCGGGACAATCGACATGGTGTTTGCTGCCTGGCAGCTTCAAGAGAAATGTCAGGAACAAAACGCCGACCTGTACTCCACCTAAGTCGATCTGACTAAGGCCTTCGACACTGTTAGCAGAGAGAGTCTTTGGAGAATCATGGCGAAGTATGGGTGCTCCAGGAAGTTCATGTCAACTTCATGATGGAATGCTAGCAAGAGTCCAAGACAACTGGCAGACTTCCGAACCCTTCCCAGTCTCAAACGGAGTGAAGCAGGGCTGTGTGCTTGCTCCCACCCAGTTCAGCTTGATGTTCTCGGCCATATTGCCTATTCTTGTAGACCTATTGCGGTCTACAAGAACGGTTGGGATGTGGACCAGTTTTAAGCTGCATAAAATTTATTTAGCTAGAACGTAGAACATATAAGAATGGGGTGATCGTATACTGACGTAGTGCTGTCTTGACGTATTAGTGACGTAGCGAGGACTTCGTTGCATGTTTTCACAATGGGTATATTAGCAGCCAAGAGACAGAGGGAATACCTGAAGCTGTACTTCCGTAGTCTAGAGGGTGTGGTACCATGGTTAGATGACTGCTGTAGAGTGATGTAAATTACGGGAGAGGAAAGGAACAAGAAGAAAGAGACACAATCTCTTCAGATGGTCATGCAACAAGATGGACAGATTACTGCTGGTAGCTTTGGTAAGGGGAGTGCTATTCTAAGTTGTGTGGGAAAATACTAGGCAGTGAGCCCAGTGTCAGAGAATATTACGGTGGAATATTCTGTGTTCTTATCACTAGTTGTTAGAGGAAAGACTAGCAACAAGAGGTGGGGTATTCGTGACGGGTCTAGTCACGTCAACTGGGAGGCTTAAAGAGTTAGTATATAGTTAATATTAGTACAAATGTAGTTCTTTTATATGTATGTGATTTGTTGATTAGCTAGCTATATATATATATATATATATATATATATATATATATATAAAATAAAAAAATAGTAGAATAAGAACACTTTCTGTAGCCCTACAAGGTTAGTTAGGCACTCTAATAACCATTGGGTCACAGGTTTACCTAGTAGTTAAAGAGTAGCCACAACTTTTTTTCATTGCTGAGATACTACTTTTTCAAAAGCAACTTGTTGCAAAAAAGATTCTGTCTAAAAATATAGTTTTGAAGCATTTTTTTGCCGAAAAAATGCGTCGTCTGCAAATTTACACATTAAAATTCTGTTCGCAGCGCCATCTCTTGCGATGACGTCATGAGTTGTGTTAGTGTCAGTGTTGTGTATTATGGCTATGGCGTGTTCTTCATCATCCAGTGTTGATATCTTTTCAAGTCTGGACTCTATAGGCATTTCCGATAACAGTGGAGATGTATGGCATGTTTGGCAAGACGGTATTGTGCTTAGTTACCAATTTTAGCCTAAATATTTGTCTTATGAGGAGCTCTTGGAGTCCGCGGTATTTCAGTTTTTTTTACACCCCTACTCTCATGTCTCTAACGTTAGTTTAGTAGGGTATTCTGAGGTACTATTGATGAGTCTATACGGCGTCTAGGCTCGCCATCGCTCGACATGATGCGAAATGCAGTTTAGCCTACACTGTAAACAAAACGTCCAGTCTATGTACAGGGCATGCAGGGTGCACTGTATGCTTCCAGTGTGACTAGCCATATTAATTAGATATCAGTGTATCAGGGTCCTGATCCTGTAAAATGTCATCATGCCATGCAAGGTATGGCCATGAACATGATTTAATTAATACAGCTGGGGTTAGTGGAGATGATTGGCGATTCCTTTGCAGGTTTTCGAAGTCGATCGTACCGAAGAAAATGGGGCCTAGTCCAATAGGCCTGTGATCTGGCTGGTCTGGCCCTAACTGTTAGCAAATTCCTATGTTAAAATACATCTTAACTGTGGTTTTGATTTTTACAGGTGCAAGTGTGACAGATGTGAGTTATGTGAAACTCCAGAGGAAAACATGTGTTGCACAGAAAAGATGCCAATACAGGAAAAAATTGATGAGTACAACGACAATTTCGGGGGAAACATTAAGTGCATTACACAGTATCCAAGTTTCATATCTAACTGTCTGGATGTCTGAGTTCTGCAGAATGTTTATGATCATTTCAAAGTGCAACATAAACACAGATTTGAAGGAGAAACCAATGAGTGTGTTAAATTAAGTAATCAAATATATTTTTACAGATATAATATTAATAATATTTACAACATCTATATATCTACAAATTTGTACAATATTAATAACAATATTACTAGAACATCTTTTTTATTTCAAACTGGCTATCACTATAAATCTTTCAAAAATTATAAACAGTGAAGTTCATTTTTTTCACTCTTTATTGCAGGAAGTATAGATACACTGCATACCGCCAACTAGTAATATGGTGCTGGAAAATATTAGGCAAGAAGAATCGTTTGCATACAAAATATCACACAAAAGGTTCTCATCCATGCATTCTCGGCGATGACAAAGAAAATGAACACAACTCATGACGTCATTCCCAGGTTGGTGGCGCTACTGGTAATATTTGAGTTATAAGCTGTAGCAGACGACGTTTTGGGACCAGAATTTGTTCATTCAAAAGGCTCTAAATATAAAACGCGTTTTTAAAATTATTTTTGTTTAATCTTATGCATATTTGGAGGTACAAGAACAAATTCTGAGATGAATATCATACATTTAATTCACATAGTGGTTACTCTTTAAGTGGTTTCCAATTTTACCCACAGAAAGAACTGGTGGTGCCAGTGATACCTAAAAATCGTAATAGGTGTGATTTACAGATTAATCAACATCTTGATTATGACACACATATAGACATAAATATAAACAGCCATATAGAATAAACATTTCCTTATTGACCCTACTATTCGACTCTTATTCAAAACGTGTCAGGCTAATATATCAATGATAAATGAAAATGTAACTTTATGGCCTTAGCTAATTGTCTGTTTGTAAAGTGGTAAATTCATTTTGTCGAAGGTCTACACACCTATGATAATTAATAAAATGGGTAGAATGGCTTTTCTTAAGTGTAAAGTCTTCTTTCTTTAAATTTTCAATAGACCTACGACGATATTCAGAATCCACGACGGCGAAGAGATAAAGCTGTCATAGAGCATTGAAACACGAACATGAAAATATATGTGCAGAATTTTAGTCCAGTAATAAATGTTTGGCTAAAAAATTGGCCATGCAGATTATTAGGCATCACATTCCAGTGGCCATAGGTGCGTGCACCTTCGAGAAAATGAATTCTCCCACTTTACAAACAATTGCTACTTGAATACCCGCTACATTATTTTGTTTAAAAAAAGACAAACTGAAAACGGTCGACAGTAAACAGAGACACTGCGTAGGACTCAAGAAGGGCGCCGTTTACTTCCTCTGGAGCGGCCTCACAGTCCGTCCAAGTGTAATGAAGGAGTGAGTGTGCTTTGTATTTGTAATTATACCTATGAAATAACAATCACTGTAGATTACGGGTCGGCAACCTTTGGCACGTGTGCCAGAGTTGGCGCGCAGAGTGCTTGCCTATGGCACACCACGTGATTCGAAGGAGCAAAGAAAAAATGTTCAACAAAATAATGAGAGAGAGAGAGAGAGAGAGAGATCCTCACCACTGTGGTCAGCTAAATTCTAAAATCTTCGATCTATTTGGAAAACTAGTAAGAATGATCATACAGAATTTGAAAGAAAGACCAGAGAAAGTTAATGGGCAGAGAATAATAATAATAAAAGAATAATAAATAGATCTGGAAGAGCCTAAAAATTGCTATTTTTCTTTCCATTAATTCGTTAGTATGGTAGAATATTCTTAAAGGTTCTGTGCTACTTTCAGCGGCGTAAAAATATTGGTCAAGGGGTTCACGGAAGAGAAAGGACAACGTCCAGAATTTAGGATAACAGGGCGCATGGAATTGGTACACTTAGGAGTGCTGTCTTGTATAGCCTGTACGGCCTTATGTCGAGAGGTCAGAATAATCATTATGCCATTGCCCTTTTGCCTTTGATAATTCAGCATGTTTAACAAAGTGTACTTTTCTTAGTCCCATCGTATTATTTTTCTCCTAAAGCCATAGATTATACCGTCCCTCCTTTCGTGACAACTGTGACTATCTGTTAAAAAAAACGTGCCTTACGTATATATTTTATTCGGAATGGTCACATACGTGTATAAGTCGTTAATTATATATATTATAGCTGTGATTATCTAAATCATAAACTACAAATTTACCATGATTTGAAAATATAAGAACACTTTATTGGACAGAAACTCACCAAACACATCTTGGCAAGAGCATAAATTTGAACAACGAATGCTTGGCCAAAGAGCCGGAGGACAGGTCTTTGCAGACGTGAAGCCGCCGCAATAAAGAAGCTATGACATAATTATTGAAATCCTGTTAACTTATGCTTCACCCTAACAAATTAGTTTAACAATAATCAATATGTGAATTATTTTGTGTAAAGAGAACGTTACCAGTGAGTAAACTTTCCTCCTAACAACTGGTGAAAAGGAGAGTTTGTGTTTCGTGAAAGGTTTGTGCGGGTCTATACAAAATCAATATGTATATGTATAGTAACACTAAATCAAGAAAGAAATGGCAGTCACCATAATGATCACTTTACCCTTTCAGTAAATCATACTCGCACACAAACTTCTTAGGACGATCACACTCTGCATCATTGAGAGGTGGGTCAAAGTCGGGCCGGAGCACCATGCAGTGTTCCAAGCCGAAGCCATTGTTCGGGGCATTCCAGTACCAGTCCTCGGCCTTGATCGGAGACCCGTCGAACCACTGCCAGTCGCCCTCGATGTCCCGGTCGGAGGCGCCGAGCCACACGGCCAGCGTCTCTATGGGGAGGTGGCTCCAGATTATGCGATAGATTCAACGGAGGAGGGAGAGGCAAGCAGACAAGGAAACAGGGAACTATCATGCATGAAGAAATGGTGTGTGTGTGGGGGGGGGCGGTAACCTTAGTGTACTTAAACCCCCGTTACTGCTAGTAACTCATTTCATAAGGCCCGATTCCTTTCGCGAAAAAATAGCATGACATTGGTAATATTGTCTATGACCACTGTCACTGTTATATTTTATTACTAATGAATATATATTAACCATCTTATGATGATACGAATACTATAAAGCTCATAATAATAATAGCAATAATAAAGATTACAGATAAAATCAAATATCACGCAAAAAGAGATTAATAAGGTAATGATGAAAGGTGCCCACTAATACCCACGGCCCTTATCGATGACATAATCCCTGAGGGCGGGAACATCGGCCGGTGAGGCGAGGTCCCCCCCGAGGCCGAGGCAGAAGGCGCGGGCCTCGTCGAAAACACGCCCGGAGTCGCTCAAGTGGAAGCACTCGGATCCGACCTTGATGAACGGCTCGGGACACGGCAGCTCTGCCAAAGACGCCGGAGGGTAAGGGAAGCAAGAGGCTGGCTATCTCGGAATGGGTCTTTCGGTGAAAAAGCAAAACGGGCTTTGATATGATTCTCCGTAACTTTGTTATTTTTTAGATAAGCAGTTTAATTTAGATAATGTATTTTAATTCGCCTTAATCACACGTTCTGATTATTTTTATTTTTACCTAATTTTATTTTGAACCCCTGATGCAAGAGAGAAAGAGCCCAGAGTCAAGGTGCGATCAGGCATGAGAAAAATACCTTTGCATGGCAACCTGACGGATGATTAGCCATGGCATGGTGTGGTGTGACAACGCATTAATAAAGATGAACTCTGACGCACGTTTAATTGTTACATGAAATTACACGAGTAGAGGTGAACTAATTGTAAAATATAACTAACAATTTCACATAACATACCGATAGCAGTGACAGTGCAGTTAAATCCCACTTGCTTCTTTCTTCTGTTGGTATCAAATAATACATCCATTTTGCCGGTCTCACTCACCTTCGTTACGTTATGCAACAGCCCACAGAACCTATGGAGAGCAAAAGATAACTTATAACACTGAGTTTGGTTTCATGAATCACGCACTGATTACCCACAAAATGTTCTTGTTCATTTGTAACTTACAAACATTACTAGCAAGAGACGTATTGTTAGATTAGCATATTTTCATACACGCAAAGCTACGTAACAAAATGTGTGTCGCAC